ATGCCCGAGGCGGGAAAAAAATGGAAGAGCGATGCTGTCAACAGTTCGAGGCGCATCTTTCTCTTCCTCGGCTTCTGCTCCTGTCACCGCGCTATCTTTCACATGTCGGACAGGAAGATATTGACAAATATAAAAATTTACTTTATGATTGGTCCCTGCTTGTTTTTTGTATGCCTTCCTGGCACGTCGGACGGCGCTCAAGCGAAATCTCGAGCGAGGAACCAATCATGTTACAACCGTCAAAAAGATGCTGCGAAATGACAAAAAAAAACTCAAAATCATAAGCATGAGATGCATGTGCACAACACACATACAAGGAACTTTGTCACATTTACTGCAAGTTGAATCTCCATTTTTTTTTATATATATATATATTTTAGCAAAATTTGAAATTTATTGGTAATCACACTCGGAAAATCTTATTTTTAGAGCAGTGTAAGATTGATCACAATTTAAAACTATTTCAAAAAACGGTTAAATTCGAAAAGAGGTGATTAAAATTCCAATATACATGCCTGTTCTCACATAATTTCCAGGTTTTACATGATTAGTTTTTCTCAAACTTGATTTTTAAGCTAGGAGCAACCACAAAACCACGTGACTGAAATTTCAAAATGTAGAATCTTAATTTAGTTGAAAAAATGTAGATGTCATATAATATTTTTTTATCATTGTAATACATGTATTATTGCTGTTTGTTTGTCCAATTTTTACAACCATATTCTCATTTTTTAAGCAAATATTAAAAAAATGAATTTTTAAATTAACTTCTTTTGCTTCTGAATTTATGTAAAAAATCTATATATATTTCCTTCCAAGACTCTTTTGAGACATGAGCGAACTTTTTTTATCGCCAGCGCATTTTCAACTTCTCAATATCCGCGGAAAAAACAACGTGCCACTTAAGATTTTCTTTCAAAATGTGTCCTGAAAAGCGGAAGACTTTGGAAAGACGCCACCGCTCCTGGGCGGGCAAACTGTCAAAAAAGCCTCATTCGATGTGACACACGAGAGAGAGAGCTTGGGCAAAAAAAAATGAGTCGCCAGAAGAAATATAGCAGAGGCTGTGGAGGAAATAACGAAAATCAGGCGCGATTTTGCAGTAAAAGTGGAATCTGCTCAACAGACCGTTTCACTTGCTGAAATATTAGACAGTTTAATGCTACCGTGCGTCGCATATTGGCGCGTGACCTTTAGCATTTCACATCAAAATTTTCATGGCAAATTTTGGGAAGCCCGAATTTTTGACGCGCGGCTCTCAAATGAGGCATTCTCCCGGGAGATGAAACAACAAACATCCGCCTACAACTGGTCTTGTTGGGCAAACAGCCCTTGAAATAATATTGTGCTACAGGGCCTGTCTTTATCGCACAAATTTAAAAAGATAAAATATATTTAAAATAGTATTCAATTTTATTTATTTTATTATTAATAATGAATAGTAAAAAATTTTGTTGCCGTTTCCTTGCAGATAATTATTGAAAAAGCATTTTAATATTTTTTCAATCAAAAATATTTTTAAATTAATTGCAATGTTGTTAGAAATTACGACATTTTAATGGAAGAGTTACTATGTTATAAAATTATTTCTTCATATTCAGTTGATAATGCTTTCTATTGTTATTTATCTTTTAAAAATAATTTAAATCTGTTAAAATTTCTGACTGACCTTCTATTTTTCTTTAAACTGCGCCGGAATTTAACAAAAGTAAAAGCAAAACTTTCCACGCATTTAATTTTTTTAATTAACATTTCTTGGACGTCAGGAAGCCAACTTTATGTACATAAAAAAGCTTTCAAAGTGATAACATTTTTTTACAGCTTTTAAAGAAAAAAACAATGATAATTTCGCAATTATCCGATAAAAAAATAATTACCCCTAAAGTTCTTTTATCATAATAGTCCGAGGTGAATGGACCTTTGTAATACGTTGTTTCCTTCCATTTTCAAACAATAAATGTCAAACTTGTGTATTAAATCACCAAGTCGGTATTCTCTTGAGGAGAATCTTGAGACTTCCCCGTTACTTCAATCTGCAAGAAATTTAGATATTTGCAAAAATATTTTTTCTTTTACTTTTGCAAAGCAAAGCAGGAGCACTTTAACATGTACTTTTTTCATCCATATCTCCTCGATTTCCTTCTCACTCCGTTCCGACGAGAGAGAGCGAGAGTGAAAGGAACCTTTTGTATTCCCTGCAGATTCTTTTTCCGGCAGTTCCGCGAGTTTTACACATTCTCCCGGGGGTTGAAAGAAATTTCGAGCCGGCAATATGTCTCCCAGATGCCTTCTTTGCACTGTTAACGTGCTGCGAAATCTCCATTAACGACGTCGCTCTTTACGACCGAGACACGTCGAATTAAATTTCTAAAGATCCGCCAGAGTGAAATGAACGAGCAATAATAATTACTGGCAGCTAATAAGCGCGACGCTAATCCGCCTCGCGGTAAATTAGCCAGACAGGGAGCAGGTAATTTATGCATCGCCAGTCTGCTGCGGACGAGAACAATGAAAAGCCCGTCGCAAATTGGCTCGACCATTTCTGCCTTATGCGTTGTTTTGCTGCCGCCGATCGCTGCTTAATTTTTGCTGGTGATCAATTTTGCTGCGCAAAGCCGAAACTTGACGTCAATGCATAATTTAATTGTTGAAGGTTCAGCATTTTGCTTTCGGCCAAAATTATTGGGTTTTCTTTGTTTAAAACTCTCTAGTGAACCTGTTAGTATGTAATTTCTTCAAGAAAAATATTTGCTTAATATATTATATTATTTAGCTTCAATTTTTGTTTCGTGAAATTTTCATAACAAAATAAAGTGTTCACAGTGGTAAGCCACCGTTGTTCATAATTAATAGCAAAGCACATTCTTTTAACTGAATTGATATTTATTAAATATTTTTTAATTACTTAAATAATAATAAAAGAAAAATCCATACATTGTAAAAAATTATATTTATCGTTAGTGCAATTTGAAGAATTTACATGAATATTAATTACAAAAACATCTTGAAAGAATCTTTTTTATTGTTTTAATTAAAAGCAAACGGTAGAAATATTTACTTATAAATTATGCTCAAAATTAGCTGCAAGAACAATAGTAATATAAATTATTTCTTTTCTCTTTTGTAAAACCTTTTCAAAATTGTACACCATAACCAACAATAAACATTAACTTTTAAGAGCTCATTCAAAATTTTTGGTGGATTTATTCAGACTCATGGTGAATTATTTATTTTGGTTGTCGAATGCTGCCAATGGTTGTAGTTTAATTTATACGCAAAACCGCGCAAAACAAAGAGAAAACATAAATTGACTGGTTAATGCGATATTTGCTTTTGAGCCTGTTGGACGTATGTGTGCGGGAAAAGTTTAATCGCGGCCTTCATTCCCCACCAGTTCAACAGACGGGAGAACAAAGAATAATATTTCACCCTTTGCAATGCATTTTATATGCATTTTATTATGATAGTTTTACTTAAAATAATAAATAAACTCTAGTTTTATTATTAGGAAGATTTTCCATAGCAAAATCTTCTTTAAAGTGCAGCTCACAAAAATGTTTATAATCAACAAAGAATTTCTTATTTAATTATTTATAAAACACAAAAATTTCCTGATGGATTTCAAAATATTAATATTATAGTCGGTAACTTTGTATTTTTAAGAACGCTTATTTTCATAGAGGAATCAATACAGAATATGTGGAATGGCCTAAAAGCAGCATATTATGTATTATTTTTAACGTTAAAAAAAGCACTGAACTTAACAAGAGAGTTGCGCAAAACAATTAAATGCTAAATTAGGCGTCAAAGCAGATGAAAGGCCGGGGTGTCGGCAGTTCACAGTGAGTGAGAGCGGCTGTTGAATAAATGTAACGCGGCTGTTTCTCGCGCTCCGAAAACCACGAATGCGCGCACGTGGCTCTGTGCATTCAAATGGCCCGACAGCCTTCAAGCCTTTTTGCGCTAATTAGCCAGGGAATTTTGGTCGTGTTTTAGCTCTGGAAATCACTCTGCCACGTACGCGGCATTGCTCCTTAACGACTTAATTTTGCTTCTGCCTTTTACTGCCACAGATGAATAAGACTTGATGCGGGCAAAACCGAGGCGTTCCCTACATACATGATAATAAATTATTGAAAAGATTGGAAATATCCAAATGGAAAATAAAACTAGCACATAACATGCAAATATTATTCCTTAATAATATTTTTATATAACGTGCAAGTTTTCTGATTTTATTTACAATAAGAAATTAGTTAACGATACAATACTTATTAGCGTTTACCAAAAAAACCTATGTTCATATATTTAGGTTGATTTTATTTTGCTAACATGATTTTGCGTTGTTATGAAGTTGAATCATTTTAATTAATTTTATTTGTTGAATAATAAAGAAAACAGTTAGTAAATTAATATAAAAAAAAAAAACAAATTACAAATATTCAGCTCTTTTTATCAATAAGTGTACCCCATATAGTCTCAACAGAACTGTTAGAATTAATTTAATTTCGGTAAAGATCAGCATTAAAAAATATAGCATTAGTGCGGTAAATTTTTAGCAGAAGAATATCAATGTAAAAAATAAATACTGTTCATTTCAATTTTTTTTTTAAATTATGATTTTTTTCCAATTTGGCAAAATAAACTGAATTTAAATTTTATTGCTATAATTTTTATAATAATACGTAATAAATTAAAATACTAAATTTCAATTCGAAATATTTAGCGCAGATTGATAGGAAAGTCCTGGCGCTCGGCCTCATTAATATAAACGGTATCCAAACATTTGCGAAGCTAATTATCCACCGAGTGCAATATTTATTTTCCACTGGACTGGAGCCGTGTCGCCAGCAAAGCCAAACTCACCGTAAAAAGCTCTCTCCCTGTACTGATTAAAGTATCGCCCTGGTTGATTGAGTTTTTGTTTACCGAATTAGTCCCTCGGCAGTCTCGTTAAAATTTCAGCTTGGCCAAATTGATTAAAGCCGATTATTTCACAGCCCTGCCGTCCGAGTCGCCGCACATCAGCAACATGCACAGCTCGTACGCGCCAGGCGAATGGGTCCTGGCCACGTGCACCGCCGCAAAGTCACTGCCCGCCGCTGAACTCCAGTGGATGCTCAATGGACAGCCAGTAAGATATACAAAAAAAATAAATAAAAAAAAAAATCGATTCATTTGCTAAAATGCATATCGTTTATTTATTTTAATTTTCTATATATTATTATTTTTCTTATTTTTTATTCAAATTTTGGAAATAAAATAAAGTACGACTTTCTACGCTTTTAATTTTTCTAATTAAAATTTTGTGGACGTCAGCGAGCCAACGCTGCGTAAAAAAGCTCTTAAATTGATAACATTGTTGACGTTTTCTTTTTCTTTCCTTAAAGATAATTTTGTAATTTTCTGATAAAAAAAAAAAAAATAATTAGCACTTGGGCTCTTTTTCCAAGGTAACAAGTCAAAGTTTTTGAAACGCGTCGTTTCCGTTTCATAAACTTTTAAAATGAAGCGTGTGAAAGAATTTTGAATGAAATGAAATAAATACAATCAGTTATAATGATAATTTATTTGATAATAGGCCAATTTAAGAATTTAATCAATTTAATAAATTAAATATAGCCTAATTTTGCACAGGTCGACTCTCTGTGGGTGACCACCTCTGTGCTTCGTGCCAACGGTCATTCCGGTGACGACGACGAGGACATCCTCATGGACAGCAGCTACTACGGCCTGGACGACCGGAGAAACCCCGTCGCTCATCTTTTGCCCCGCGAAGATGAGCCGCACTTGGAAGCGACCAAGAGCATAATCAGATTCCAGGTGTTTTCATCCAAAATTAGCATTTTACATCATTTTATAATAAATCAATTTCAGGCTCGTCCCGAGTATTTTACTGGGCCCAAAAGGGAATTTTCATTGAGGTGCATGGCTTCCATTCATGAGCATGTTTGGCGTGCCGAGCGAAGACCCACTTTGGCTGGTCTGGGTGGCAATCAGCGACTTGCAAGGCACGAAGAGCCTCACAATGCTGCTTCAGGTGAAATTTAGTAAAATTTGTTTTTATTTTTGCTTTGGTTTTTTTTCCTTTTCTTAAAATGCATACAAAAAAGAGCAATAAATTATGATCTTAAAAACAAAGCATTGTGGATAATTGTAATTGTATAAAAATAAACAGCAAAAAATTTAAAAATAAAAAAAGTTTATATTGAGTATTAATAATTTTCAATTTTTTTCACTAATGTAATTTAATGCTTTGCATAATATATAATTAAATTTTGTATATAACGAAAATTAGATACAAGACTTGCTCTTTGTGGATTTAAAAATGAAAAAATCTTATTTCTTTGAAATAAATTTGTATTAAAGACAACTCAAAACAAAATCTCTGAAAAATTTATCTTTTAAATTCACAGGTCGTGCCGCGTCTCCTATGCTTCTATTGCTGCTTCTGCGAATAATTTTGGACTGCACCCGTGCCTCGTGATTCGCTAACGTCGGCCCTTTGCTGTGAATGTGAGCCCTCTCATTGAACGAACTGGTTAAAAAAAGAGTTGTGCGGACCTGAAGCGATTTGATGAAAGTGGTGATCAAGGGCCACGGATATAGCGCAAGTACACAGTGGTGCTGATGAAAGAGGAAGTGTTGTGCATTAAATTTGTTACGAATATATATCAAAAGTGGTGAAAATGAGGGACAATGAATTAAATTAATGTTTTATATTTCTTCCCCCCCTTTCATTGTTTTTTCGCGTTCAAGTGTCAAATTACACAAAGCAGCAATTTTTAAGAAAGAAATGTGTTGTCGCTGTCGCTTTTCTCTAAAAAGTATAATATAAATGTCACTCAAACCCGTTCTGTATGTCAAATTTAAAACACTTTTCACCCTGCTGCTAAAACACAAAACATGCCCCAAAATTGTTGATCAATCGAGGATAAGTATTTAATTTTTCTTCCTTATCTTTTAACATTGTACAAGTATGCGTTCTTGCGTTCCTGGTTGAAAGTTTTATTCTAAATATAATCTCATGCCATACTTTATTTCTTAAGCAGAATGTTATTTCTTCAATTCTTAATGCATCCTAACGTCGCAAAAACATATGTGGAGTTAAAACAAATAACTGAAAATGATAATTGATGAAATTGATAACAAATTACGATTTAAAAAAGGAAAGAATCATTCGGCCAACCATCATTTGATATAACTGTGTCCCATTGCACTAAAATGTTTAAATGAACCCATGCTTGTTTATAATTTGCTGTTAATTAAAAGCAGATCAAATATACTGATGTGCATAAATAAATATCTTACTGTAGCAAACATCTAAACTACGACTTTTTATTGCTGATGGAATACCAAATTCGGGAATAAAACACCAAGTATAACAATTTATTTATCACATAGTGTCTTTGTGGATAAAATAATTAAACTATATAACTTTTAAAATTTAATTTCCATTCTAACTAAAATTTTAATTCTTTTACATCCTTCAAGAGAATTACTACAAACCGCTACAAACAATAAGAATAAAATAATTCACTGGCTTACCTATGAAAATGTGGATAAATTTTATAAGTTCTTGAAGTTTTTTGTTTTGTATTTATAAACCGCGCTTTGAAATTTACCATAGCTTTTATGAAAGTAAAATTTTCTAGTGTTGTTTAATTAAAATTTCTTAGACGTCACAAGCCTAATCTGCGTAAAAAGTATTTTCTTATAGCGATTACTATGCTCGCAGATTTTAATAAATAATTTCCCAAAGAAAAAATAGACCTTACGGCTTTTATGATAACATTGCGCAGGTCTTATTATAGTAAACTTTTAATATCATAAATATGTAGGAAAATTTTAATGAGGTAGACTAAATAAATTCAATGCAATCAAAAATTATGAACATATATTTTATTAACTTATGGTCAGTAAAATTCAATTATTTATTTATTTATTCTTCATCAAAAGAATTTAATTTAATAAAAAAAAATTCAATACATACTAGACTTACTTTGCACAACATAATTATATGGATTACACGCATGCCAAGTTTAATTTTACTAAAAAACTGACTCAACACATATTTTTTCATTATTAGAATAAATTTTGTGAAATTTGAGTTCTTGTTATTCATGTAAGTATAAACAAAAACGAAAATTGTTTTATATAACATTTTTTTATTTTTGTTAATTATTTAAATTCAGCGTCAATGAATCCAATTCTTCAGACTGGAGCTTCAGAGAATACCATAATTATATTGTTTGATTATTTTACAAATAATATACAAAATGTACCATAAATTAAATTAAATATTCATGCCGAATATCAGTTAAAATAATTATTTTCCAAACGCAAACTTAAACGATTGAGTGAAACCATGAATTTTGCTGTTGATAACGCAGCCCAAATAATACTGAACAATAAATTTAATATCTTTTACTGAAGAAAACTATGGATCCTAGTTTTAAATATCTGAATGCATACTTAATTATACAGAAACCTTTGCCACATCCAAATTTTTGTTATGACGTTTTTATTTTTGCATTTTAAATTTTTTAATATTGATTTGATAATGATCAACAATTTTAAGAAGAAAAAAATGAGAGCGTATTTAAGTTATAAATTACTTTTAAATAAGAAGTAGCATTAAATTCCTGAACAAGATTCGATTTGATGGTCTAGACGGTTTTGTTTTTACTTTTTCCATTGTAATATCAAATAAATATGTAGTAAAATAATAATTTAATCAGACAACTCGGGGAAAAAGATCTTAAGCAATAAAACACAAAAATATCAATTTTGCCAATTATAGAATGTTATATTTTTTCGAATTTGAAACAAACCAGCACAAAAAAACAATAAAAGCTCAAAACACAAAGAGCGTTTCCAAAATTTACTAATTTTTCTAATTTATTCCCAAACCAGCTGTCAGGGCGTCACTGAAATGTGATACATCAAAGAACTGGGACTCCGAATCACTGGAGAATGTCACGTTATTTACTGAAGGAGACAGAAACAAACCAGCGACAAGTCCATCCACACCAAGCACAGGCACATTTGCGTAGGCTAATGATTGAAAATCAATCATTGGCTAAAAGGAGGGAAACATATGTTTAAATTGTATTCATTGCAACCTAACGGATTGTATAATAAATGAATATTTTCTTTTTCAAAATTAAAAATGAACTTACGGTCCAGGCTCCGGCGGTATTATCCTGATTGATGCAAATTCCAGAAGCTTCATCGAATGTAACACCCGGGCTGCTGACGGCCAGAGCAGCAGTGCATGAACTCTTTGAATAAGATACCACTGATATTGACTTCAAGACCTAATTTTTTCATTTGAATATTAAATAATGATATTCAACTTGATAATTTCTCACGTCTCCTTGGTAATACAGCAATTCAGAATTCGAGTTGTTGGTAGCGAAATCGAAGAATCCATTCGGTGCCATTGGCATAACGTTACTAAATCTCGTGCACACTTTGAAGACAATGAATGGTATATAATCATAATATAAATTTCCAATGGTGTGCACTCTTGGGTTGCCGTTGGAGAAGCTAGTAATTGTAACAGGTGGTGCTTGACGAGATTGTATTTGTTTTTTTAAGGTTGAAAAGTCCGGCAAATCAGGGAACACGTCGTTAAAATTGAAACCTGTTGCTGGAATATTTTCTGAGGAACGGCCACCGGCAAACCTGTAATTTTATTGCATCGCAATTTTATCCCTATCAAATTCACCTTTGATAATTTTCAACCTACAAATTTTTTTATGTAATATTCAAATTTTTATATCATTCACTTACAGTAAGATGAAAAATGAAAGGACGCAGTACTTTGGACTTATTGCAATCACGGGTGAAGTAAGGGGTGAACCATCGAATTCAATTTTCGCCTGATAATTACATACGATTACACGAGTAAAAATACTGCGGCAAGGCAATAGTGCTGATTTAACTAAACTGTAACTATAACTTACAAGAAACGAATATGTCGAGGTGTCTGCATTTGCCGGTGTACCCCAGGCAGGTACACCTTTATTAAAAAATAAAATTGAAGAAGTGTGCAACGCGTAAATAACATTCACTCACGTTCAACAAAACAGAACAGCAAAATACCGGCGCATACCACGAAGAACATAGGAGCGCGCATTGTTCTACAGTTGTAATTGTGTATTACAAGTGGCGCATTAAAATTTGTGACCATTTTTATACCATTCCTCCTACTACCTTTGAATACTTAAAATAGGTTTCACTCCTAGCAGGCGTGGGAAACTTTAAGGGGGAGGAAGTGATAGTGGATTTTATATGTTGGAAACCAACGGCCAGGTAGGTCTTGATATCTCTTAAAAGCCTTTTTAGTGCAAGCTAGTAGAAAACGGGCAAATTTTCAAAGTTCATCAATTAATTTTCAAAAAATTGATATACAACTAAATAAAATCTAACAACAGACGCAGGCTTTAATAAAGCGACGGTGCTTTATTATTGAATTTTCAGCAGAAAAGCATAAATTTACTTCCGAGGGCCTTGTCATAGAATATAAAATAGCTCATACATTCAGGATAAGATGATGGTATGAATTTTGTTTTAAATTTATGAATATTTTCAAAAATAATTATTTTAAAAATTACATAAGAGTTTAATATTAAAAAATAATTGAAAAGTATTTAATTTCCTAATATTTACCTTCTTCAGTTGCCAAAATCATCTCTCGTTAGCTGAGCACAGCTGAGCATGAGAGAACCATAAAATTAACAGCTATTTAAACGCATTGAAAAATCCTTTACACCAGTCAATATTGTTGTCAAAATTTGCTTGAAATCATTTTTAAATCTAAAAAATTTATATGAGAATTTTATGCCTTTTTTATTATAAGCTTATAATTCAATGAAGCTTTAAAGACTTGGAAAAATGCATCCATATTATGCAAAATAAAAACTTCATATTTTTTCCTCCAGGAAACTGCACACTTCATTTTCTTGAGTAGCCTAGAAAAATTGCACAATATCCTTTTTACGCTGCTGCAACCTGTAAGAATGCATTTGCTATCTTTAGAATTCAAAATTCAGTATATTTTTCGATGAGTTAAACACACCAAAATTTTATATTTAATATAAAATATTTTCAATTAAATTTAATTCATCCATTTAGTTTAAAAAAGAGTTTCATTAAAAATTTGTCTACGTTTCATTAAATCGTATATTTCAAAACACGCATTTATAAAACGAGTTCTTTACTTTCGACTCGTCACCTTGGAAATTTCCATTATGATAAAAAGAAACTCGAGAACTAGGTATTTTAATCAGAAAATTGCCCACATGCTTTTCTCTAAAAGCCCAGAAATTTTTTTATCACTTAAAATGCTTTTTACTCTGCGTTTAAACTTGACAAGTTGACGTCTAGAAAAAAAACAATGCTATCTTTTAAATTCATAATTGAGGAAAAATATTAAGTTCTACTGCTGTTTTATTTAAATGCCGTTAAAATATCAAAATACGGAAAAATAAAAGTGGATGGTGCACCACCATTAAAAGGCACGTGCGCTGACCCTAAATAATATAAAATAAATTTTTAAGTTCAGTTTCCCAATGGGTTTTGTAAGTTGTTAATTTTTTTAGAAAAACTAAAAATTTGCTGCTCTAAATGTTAAAGTCTGTATTTTACAATTTATTGAGAGAGAAATCTCCCACTGTTTTACTCCAATAATTTTTGAAAATTTGCTATTTATTCATTCCATTTTTCATTAGACCAATCTGGGTACAACTTTTGGTAAATGTGCATTCCTATTCATGTCAATATTAATTTTAATATAGGAGGTGAAAAAATATATATCTTCTTTTTTCGTCCAGTCTTAAAAGTTTATGGAGTGCAGTCTCTTTTCGCAGAACTCAAGGTGTTTTTGGGCATCAGAGTGCAAACTTTTATTTTTGCAAATTAAATAGTGAAACCCGGTAATTGCATGTATGTTTTCGAAAAGGGGTTGCATGCAACAGCTATTTATCATGGCTGAGAGGTTTCTATGAAAATAAAATAAAAAAATTCTCGTTTGAAGCTTTATTCTTAATATCTTAGTATGAATTAAAAACTCTTCATACGCTGGAGTGGGAGGCAAGTTATATTTTTGCATGGTAGTTGCAACTATAGAGATATATTAAAGTGTTTCTGCAATATTCCCCGTTCCCAGTGCTTATTCGATTTTATAATAAGCTGTCTTACTAATTTTTCCAAATTAAAAATGTCACAAATATAAATAGATAGGCCAAATGGCCTAAATGCCATATGATGTTATCGGAGCAAAATTTAAAGCAAAAAGTCGTTGAGCACAGTCAACAGATATTATTTATTAAGTCTTTGGAGTCATAAATCACTGCTACAGTCTTTTTACACCTTTCACTAATGTGTTTCGAGAAAGAATTTACTGAGGGCTGAAAAACAACACCTAAGTATGAGTGAGCGCCTCTGCCCTTGCAATTTTTATTTAATTTTATTAATAATTGTGGTTTAGTTAAAAATAAGTTAAAAGTGGATTTTTATATATTGTTTCTTTTTTATTATGAAAATTATGAGAATACGATACTTTCAAGTTCTATTGGTTCACGTTTCATTTTGAATAATAGTGAAAGGATGAAATCCCTTTAAAATATTTTAATGCAGTTTTAATTTAAAAACGCATAAAAAAATCAAAATGCTGTCAACGTCAGCAAACACATTAAGGTTATTCAACCTTGCTGGAAACTTGGCCTCTTCTTATCAAAAAGCACTTGACATATGCAACGCGTAATTAAAAAAAAACTTTCCCCCAGTTTTCCAGTAATTAAAATAAAACACAAAGCGACGAAAAATAATGTGCCTGTGCGCGTCACGATTACTTATCATGGAAGCAAAAACATCAAGGCCATTTTGTAATGGGTACTTGAAGAGACTTTTAAAAAATTAAAAATGAGCTTTTTTTCCAACAAATCAAAAACCTTTCCAAATAGTATTATATTTTATCTTTGTTGAACACGACAGTGTCCAATAAAATTCTTATGATGAGATGAAATTGTGATTTTTGAAATATCAGATTTGTAATGCAATATGCAATTATAATCATAATATTTATTTTGTCTATGTAGCAAATGGTTATGATATGATTCACGCTTACTAATCATGTAAAGCACAGGGGTGTGGTAGCGGGCTGAATTCTCAATCCTTTCAAAGTTTCGGTCTAGAGAATTGTGGTTGCTGGTTGTAAAACTTCTTATGCAGTAATAAATTCCATTTACTGTTGTGAAATTAGTCACTTTGTACAAAATTAGTATTTTATGATGATTTTCTTTCTGATGCCATGAAAAATTTAGTGAAGTCGTTGCTCGTTTTAATATTTAAGAAATTTCGCGCACCACACAGGTAGCTAATTCTCCATATAAAATACATTTGGAAGCATTTAACTGAAAATAATTATTTATTTTATTATAATTAATTAGTAACTAGACTAATTGCCTTGATATTTGAGACAAGCCGGTGTAATAAGTTAAGATAATTCCTGGAGTGAGATATTAAAAATGTTAATTAAGGGCGAAAAATTCCCAAAATGAACACCCTTTAAAACCACACCAATATGTCTGTATAATTATGTCTTTGAGCAGTTCTTAGGATTTTGATTTCCAAAAACAAATTATTCCGTCGTCGTTGACAGTTACAATTTGTATCCGGAAATTTTATTCCTTTTTCTCTGTCTCTAGAGATTTAAAAAAAAAATATGTATAATTATATTGTAATAATAATCTCGCAAATTCATTTTGCATTCAATGTTATTTAAGAATAGATCGTCCATTTATGAAGCATAATATACATTATTTTATATGAGTTTTCAAATTTCAAATAATTTTTGACGTGTTTCTTGGAGAAAACTTTTACATCTAAATCAACTTCTAATCTAAATCAAACGACTAAAAGTGTGCATAAAATAAAATTATAAAATCATGAAGTTTTGACTTACAAAGCGAAAAATTGTCCTCAAAGTTGTCTTCAGCAGTTAAATATATAAAAGGTCCTTTTTTTCATTTTGTATGTATTTGTGGAATTTTCTTTCGGCCAATAATAATTCTGTGATTTATATGTATACTTAGTAAAAATTGACTGCTAAGTCCCAACAAAAACTGCAAAATTATATTTTTGTTCTTCGTTATAATTACCAAAAAATATCATTTATTCTACAAATTTTATGTTTGAAAAAACAAATGCTTTATTTAATTTTATCCTTTTTATGACCAGTAGTGGGTGTTGAGCTTCTTGATTTTTTTGTGATTTGTGAAGATCGCATGGCTGTTTGGATATAAATTAGGCGTAGAAAAAAGCGTAAGCGTGTTTATAAGTTACACAACATTATAAAATTGTGATTTCAATATATTTTTTTTTTAAATGCGAAGTAATAAATAAATAATAATAAAGTATAGATACAAAACATTGCCAGAGATTGAGAGCATAGACTATATAAAATATTTATATTTCTGCATTAAAAAGGCATTTCTCTGATTTCAATTTATTTTAAGATTTCCTGAACGCGAATTTTATTAACAAGTACAAGTGCATCAGCGGAGATAAAAGTCATTTAATGTTATTAGAAATAATGCGACTAGCCAAAATATTTCATTTAACGTCAACAATGATGATTAGGCTATATTTTAAAAGAAAACATCAATTGTGCCAATCAAAATTATTATTTATTTTGTTCTCATGCTGTGACTTTTTCAACACAATTTATTAAAATCTCAGCTCTTCGCCTTATTCATTTTATTTAAAAGTGCCTCCAGTCAACGCTGGACTGAAGTATCCGACGTCATAAAATATGTTCTCAGCATCATTGAGGTAAGTCACATTATTGTACCATAATTCAGATGCTACGCCGGCGATGAGTCCATCCACACCAAGTACTGGTAAATTAGTGTAGGTCGTATTCGGAAGATTAAAAAACGGCTAAAAATAAAGAAAAATTAACTATCAAAATATTTTTCCAAAAATGGGCACATTTAAGTTTCAACAATTGACTAATTAAAAACAATTCTTCTTCAATATAAATAAAAGCGAGTTGAAAGCAAAAATATATGCACATACATCTAAAGCTCCTGGGGTGGTGTCATAATCATTGCAAATAGCAGCGTCTTCATCAAAAGTGAACCCTGGCAAGCTAACGCCAAGCGCGGCGGTGCAAGTTGCCTTTGAATAGGAAACCACTGACACCGATTTCAAGACCTTTTGATATGTATGTCAACCATTGAGTTAAAAAAGTTATTACGAGTTTTCTCACGTCTCCTTGGTAAAAGAGATATTCCGAGTTGGTGTTATTGGTCGAAAAATCAAAGAATCCACTTTGCGTCATATCCATTGAATTATAGAATGACCGGCATACTTTGAAGATAACAAATGGTGCCGCAGGAATAAATATTCTTCCAATGGTGTGTAGTCTCGGAATGCCATTGGGGAAGCTTTTAATTATGACAGGATACTGATTGGAACCACCAGCACGAGATGCATCTCTCGAATTTTGAATGCTTAAAATGTCTGGAAGATCAGGAAAAATCGAGTGTATGTTCTGGCCGGTTACTGAAGAGGACTGTGATGTCGTTTGTCCACTGCAATATTATTTAAGTTCAAGTAATATAATCATAATAATTAATAACCAATTGTTTTTCATACCCCGCAATCAAAATCGTTGTGAAGCAATACCTTTCGCTTAACATAACCACGGGCGTAGTGAAGGGAAAAATGGTGTATTCAAATTTCGCCTAATTAAATATTAAATTAAAAACTTTATAAGCCCAGTAAATGGTTACATAAATATGTATAAAAAAAAAACGCTTTTGGAATTTAAAACCAAAGAAACCACGACTCTTTGTCTCAAATATCTGGCGTCTCGGAATGTAACCCCCATGTAAAGGAGATTACATAGTCTAGTTTACTAATTAATTAATAACACTTACGACAAAATTGTATTTTGTGGTATCTGCATTGCGCACTGGACCCCATGCAGGAACAGCTTCTAAAAAATTTAAAAAAAAAACATAAATAAAGATGTCCAAACACTTTGAAATATTTACTCACGTTCAACAGAACAGAGCAGCAAAATGCTTGCCAACACTAGGAAGGACATGGGAGCGTACATTGTTCCAGTAATATTCCTGAGGACAAGTAATGTTGTTGAAAATTTGGGCCTGCTTTTATACCATGTCAATGGAGGTCGTCTTACATGAAACGGAAGTGCGATAAAGAAGCCCCAATTTTACAACCTCATAATTATGAATTTTATACTTCCCTTCCCTTTTAAAATGCGACGTGATGGTGAAATATTTTTGTTATTTCTAGGGACACTACTATTCAAGTTTAAAATTTTACATTGATCATTTTTAAATTTCTGCATCTTCCTTAGCGTATGAGACAAACTTTCCTGTAGTAACAAACTGAATACACGAAATAAATATAATAACAATCGTTTTCATTATTTTTCCTAAAAATATAAATCAAATTAAAAAACATTTTGATATAAAAAGTTGCGCTCAGCTCACAAAATTTTAGATTATTAATTTTGTTTGTTCTACTGAGGTCAATACAAAAAAAAATATTAAATGGAAATAAATTAGCACAAAGGGTACCAAGTATCACAACTGGTCCAGTAAAACGCCCGACATTGATAAATTTTGTATTGAAAACATCCATTTCAAAATTAAAACCATAATTAACTGTCAAATTTGTAGCAATTTTATACTAACTGATTACGAAAAAATTATGTTTTTCAGCAAAATTAAAATTGGAATGTCAAAATTTCAATTGTTAAAAGAATAAAGTGAAATTTAATGCAGGAATATTTAGCCTTTAATAGGCAATAAAAACAATGATATTTGTAATATTGAATGTATGGATGATGTTTTTGAGCACGGAATGCCCAGTGATACATTTATAAACATGATTTGAATAAAAAAAAAAATTGATAATTATGTTGCCACACATAATTTGAAGCCCCTAGTTAAAAAAATAATAATCATCAACAAGCCGAATGCTCAAGATATATCGTACTTAAAATAATAATAAAAAAAAATATCAAAGTAGGAATTAAGCACAATGAATTGTAATTCACTCTAAAAACAACCTGTCCGCAATAAGCACAATGAGCGCATGCACTAGTAGACTGATGCGATCTTGCCAAAATTTTGGTCACTTTTCTATAACCTTACAGTCTGAATATAATTTTACTATATGTGTTTTCCCTTGTGATAATAATTGAATCATGCTTGTTAATTTCTTGCATATAAAATTAAACCATAATCCATAATATTTTAGCATTTAATCACAGAAACAAATTTTGGAATTATCACCATAACCAAAGAAGGCAGAATGAAAGCTGACGGAAGCTCATAATTAAAGCTCTCACATTTAACTTGGTCCCTTTTAGTTCTCACCTCGTTGAAAAGTTGTCGCTGCTTTCCCGGTGGGGGTATCGACCTCACAGCAGCGAAGTGCATGGTGGTGCTCTCTCTCGATCAAATAAAGCGTCGAGCTGTTTCCCTCAACCTTGACGCTACATTCATGGCCATTATTTTAACTTATTATTCATACTCTCTTTGATCACCGTAAACATTTTCAATAATGTTTAATATCTATACCAAATTAGACAGTGATTGGTAAAAAGCAAAATCACATATTTATCATATATAATTTTTTTTCGCCACAGTGTCTAGAGGATCACAATAAAAATAATCGCTGCACCACTAAAAAAAAAAAAATGCTGCTCGGAAAGTCAAAATCGCGATGAAATTTTCACCTCAGTAAGCTTTTGTTGACTAACAATAATTATTAAAGATCAAGAGAAAAATCAAAGCAATAATTTAGCTCTGGCAATATCATTAATGACGATTTGTTTCCCTGTTTTATGGAACTGCACTATTACATGTGAATTTCTTTAGCCAAGCCCGGTGGCTCAGTGGTTAGAATGCTTGCATTCTAATCAGTGGGTTTGCTCGGCCGTCATGGGATCAATGCTCAGCCTGAGGCTCTTTGTGGAAACAAATTGTCTCTGGTATGCGAATCATTGATAACATTTCGGCTGACACGTCGGGAATTTGGGAGGTATGGCGCAAGCTGTACCGACTCGCACTCGGAGGTTTGCCATGTTTCCTCCGAGCCACAAGCTGGAAGAACTCAGCTTGTGTGGCGAATGCCTGCGTTTCATTCTAAGTCCTTCGTGGCAAGGCCAGGGTCAGGGGGCAGGTCTGGGGGGGTGGTAAGGGCTTCCTATGCAGAGTGCCTACTCTTCATAAAAAGCTCCCGCCAAGGAGTGAAGGGTAGGGGGAGTAACCAAACAACTCCTGCACCGTGGCATAGACCAACCCCAAAGTTGAAAAACTAAGTGGGTGCCAATAAAAAACAAAAAAAAAAAAATTTCTTTAGCATTATTTATTTTTCCAGTAATGAGATTTGTTCCAATAATTTTACAATGAAAGCTAATTGAAAGAAGAAAAATTTTGGGAGGGAACCATGAACCATTGAATTTTGTATGAGAAAACAGCACCTCCTTTTGGCAAAGATATACTTAAATTCCCAAGTTAAAAAATACCCCATCCAACGTAGTGAGACTGGAAAACTATACAATCGAATTGGTGCTTTCATTTATAACTTTTAGGTAAATTATTATTTTAATGATAAAAAAAAAACTTTTTTCCGTATAAAACACAATTTTTACATGATTTTTACTTTAAATTACAACAACATGTTGCATAATTTGCCACCTCATTTTTTGGTCTGAAAAAAAACTAACACTTATATTTTCAATTGAAATAGATGGAATTTAGAAGAGAATAATTTAGTTATTATAGAAGCATATCGTGCAAACATGAAAAATACAAATGTAATTTCAGCATCAGTCCTTAAACGCTTTTATTGAGTCGCCGATATTAATCATAAAATATTTGTCAGAAATCAGTCTTCGGCATTCATCAGTAATTTTTTTATTAGAAATTCATTGCCTAGAAATCATGATTTTCATTGGTCAGTAATTCTAAATTAAGAAAAAATATAATCATAAATTAATTATTTTTATTTTCTTATTTTAAAGGTCGGGTAAAACGGTAAACTTAAAATTTTAAAGTTATGTATTAGCCAATGTTGATTATTTTATTTTATGTTATTTTATTACTTTTCATGACAAAAATCAAACATTGGCCTGTCGTTTATTAGGCATTAGGTGTATAAATGAAACTAGGAAGAATTGGCAGCGTATTGATAAGCAGAGTTTTTATTTTCCTAGACCCGGCAATTTTTCCATCCTTACTGAGCAAGATATGCTCAAATGTTTGCAGGAAATTTTCAAGTTTTACTAGCATTGCTTATAACTATATCAAAAGAAAATAAAAAATAATCATTTTGTCGTAGATTTCTAAGCTAAAGTTTTCTACTGATCATATGTTGTTCTGATTAATAATTTTCCGACAAATGACAAAAATTATTTCTAATCTTCATTCTTTTTGTTTAATAAATAAGGGGGTTCCACTTTTAGTTGCAAAGGGTCTTTCTTCATTGATTGTATCGGACTTGGAAAATACTGCCCAAGTACATCATACATACATTAAAAAATTGTCAATTTAAGTTATCACTTTTACTTCACTTGCAACAATTTTAGAACACAAAGAAATATATTATTTTTAATAATACTATACTTGCTTTACAAAAAACTTGTTATAAAAGATTAGCCACATAATGTTTATTTTATGATCATATATATTATGTACTCTGCTATTTGTGATAATGATTATCGTTTCTTGACGAAAAGTGTGTTCACAACAACAAAAAATCATATATGAAAGTTGTCTGGGCGGTATCATTTTCAGGTACATTATAGTAAATTTGCGATACAACAGAGCAGAGGCGCGTCTTGCGCAAAGGCACTCGGTGGAACGCGAGCGATCGCCGGCAGACCATGTGGAGGCAGTGCGGGTTGCGACGTTGAAGGGGTAGCACTCGCCGTGCATGAACTCGGAACGTGCTCCTAAGGGACAGCCACGGGAAACCGGCAAGGAGATAACGCACCACGGTGAGTAAAAGCCTCTTAATTACTGCAGAAATTTGCAGTTGTTTCGCAAAACATGCGCCTTTAATGTTACGAAGCAAAGAGCTTTTGCCGCAGGTGGTAATATAATTTTAATTTTGTTTAATGAAGACGATGTTAGCTTGAAAGCTTTATTTAATTGAATCCTATTGAAAACAAAATGCATATTTCTATAAATTACAATAATTATTGTCCTTTAATAACATCAGAATGAGGTGCTTACTTTGTCTTTTATAAAAGTAATTACATTTATTAATAACCAAGCATGAGGAATTAATTGCCCTACAAGCGAGTTCATCAAGCTGCTGCTTCATTAGGCAAAGCGTTGCATTACCTTCATTGAAGAAACAAACTGGCACAGCATCTAATTTAAACGAATGAGGGGTAAAATTAAATTTCCTCCTCGTAGTGCTCGCGTGAGATGAAAACAGAGAAGCGGCGTTAAAAGGCATCCTTTTCTCACGTCATGTTCTTGCATAACATGCAGGCGCAAATTACTTCGTGCAGGTGCATTACTCGCCTTAATGGACCGAGAAGCCCCACGTTCTTTTACATATGAAACTCAAAACGATTTGGTTATAAAAATAAATTTAGGATTATTATGTTAAAATAGTCAAATTTTGCACAGGAAAAACTCGTTTATATTCTGCATGCGAAACGCTTCTTGTTGGAGGATGAGGGAGATGTGTTTGTCGGATCTGTGTGGGCTGATAGGACCCATGCTGTGTTTTTCAGCAAGTAAATATTTGGCGAACATGAGCTTAAACACGCGGGGTGGCGGATTAAATTGAGATCGAGAGGCGAAATTGATAGCGTATGTATTCGATTATTTACGTCTTTGTTTTCACGCAGTTTTCAAAAAGTTTCTTTAAAATAATATTTGTGTTCGGAACAAGATTAGACAGAAACGTCTTAATGACAACAACAATGAATGGAGATCACCAAGCACCAGATATTTATAATACATTATAATGTTAGAAATATATTATTTAAAAATAAAAATTTACGCTTATTAATCAAATTAAAATCAAGTTAAATTATCTACCCAATTTTAATGGAGTTTTTGTTAAAAGAAAATTATTAAATTGGGTTATATATTTAAAAAGAAAAAAATTATAATCAAAACAATTATTTTAAATATTATATTTTAAAATAATTTAAAATTTTATTACCAAGTTTTTAAACTAAATATTTTGTAATTTATCACTTCAAAATTAACAGTTGAAATTATTAGCAAAAATATTTTCCAGTTTCTTAAAATCCGATGTATTTTCCCCACCTTCTTGGTAACCCTAGCTGTTGCTCTTACTTATTGTTAGTCAGGCATCGCATGGAAAATGTCACGGAGCGTCGGACACTTTCATGTGAAGCTCCGAATCATGTGCACTCTCTCTAATTTACGACGTCCACAAACTTTGCCTCGGGCCGAACTTTGAGCATCTCAAAAGTGATCCAAGACAGGCAGCCTTGTGCCGAGTTAAGGTCAGCAGTCCAGCGTTGCAAACCAAGTTCACGATTGTTTATGGGCAGGCAATTTGCCTGCGCTCGTGTTTATTATGACAAAGTGACGCAAACGCGTTCGTCTCTGATCTATTTGCATCAACAAACTCGCATGGCACCTACATAACCTCCCTACTTTACAGCCCTTTTTTTCTCTGGGCGCGAATTTACGACTGGTGGTCTGGCAGAAAACACAAAAAGGCGCTTCTGCGGTTCGTTTTGCGAGGCGAAAAAGAAAATATTCTGCAGGGCAGATTAAAATTTTAGGGGGTTTTGGCGCGTCGTAAATATTTTAATGCGGGACGGCAAAGAAGCTTTTTGTCTTGACTCTTGACGCATTAGTGCTGCCCCAAGAATTCATGGGGTCTTGCTTTCATGTTTTTTCATATCTTGACGAAAAAATAATTTTTAATGCTGATTTACTATCAGATTAGCGTTTATACCAGGAGATTTGCTCTTGAAAATTATTTTTAGCATCCTTTTAAAGATGAAAAAAATCAACTCGTGCGTCAGCATCTAAGCAAACAATAAACATTTCCTCCAATGCTAAATTTACAATGGGAAGATATGAGTTAAATTTCCCTTTAATTAGCAGGATATAATTGGGATGATATTTTCAACATTAGCGAGCAAATGCAGATAATCTCTGAACGCCTGAATGAATGAGAAAATCCTGCGCTGTCACTGTTATGTTATTAACATCATCTTCGCGCAGATGTTGGCAATGAATTATGAATGAAGGAGATTATTGATCTCGCCAGACACTCATCTATAACGCACTTCAAAAAAGCATAAAGCAGATTATTACATTTCAGTAATGGAAAATAGTTCATTTATTTTAGAAAATGATTATTTTATTTTATAATTTAATTTTATATAAAATTGATATTAAAATGTGGAGAAATAGAAAATTTTGCTTTGTACGTTTTTTATTCCTGGAAGTGAAACGTTGTTCTCTGTCAAGAGCACTTTGAATTACGCATTGCGTCGCAACGACTGCTGTACATAGACAAGTTTATTGCTCATTCGGAGCACCCCTGGAGGGAAAGGCGACGCAAGTCACTGCTTGAAATCGCCGCAGGACATTTCTGCAGGCCAAAAGCGATAGCGGACGAGTCACTCACATTCGAGTTCGATGTGCTGTGTCTGCGAACGACGAGAGCAATGTGTCTGACCCAATTCACAGACTTCCAAATCAATATTGTCGCTGAAGAATTAATGCGGTGCGCACTCGACTCTCACGATTTTGCCCTCAGATCGAGTTACTTTTATGAGAGAATAATTCTTGGATTTGTCTTAAGTTTCTATCTCGAGAAAATTGTGGCTTAATGGTATTTTTGTTGATCTGAAGGTAAAAAAAAAATAAATAAATAAAAAAAATAAAGAAAGGATTTTTAAATTGGAAGATTCACTTTTATAATAGTGTGGAGAATATTAAATTTTAGGAAATTAAATTTTAATCAGATTTTATATTTATCAGATATTATAGTATACTATGTATTTTGGTTAAAAAAGTAAGACATTTTCTTAAAGAAATTAAATACATTACTTCATTTAGTTTTAAGTGAATTGTATTTTAAAACATTCTTCTGAGAGAGAATCACAAGAAAAGCGAAATATTTTAATTTAATTTGCTTTACTTGCAATTCTCCCTGAACAATGTTATTAAATAATAAAATAGTTCTCTTAAAACTAAAATATCTCAAAATCTGATTTCTATAATTAAATGATTTTCCCTTTGTTATCTAAAATATAATACATATGCGATGAAAATAAAATCTGATTAAAACTAAAATCTAATATTTCTCAATTCTCACAATAGCCAAAATAAATAAATTCATTAAATGAATGAAACTATTTCACCTTTTTTTTTCATTTTTTACTAGTCTTGTGGACAAGAAACTAGAACTTTACTCGCTAAATTTTACTCTGCCGTATTTTAATTATTAACTAGCAGTTGCGTGCGACCTGTAGACTTTTTACACCAATAACTTCATTGATATAAACCCCGGATTTGAATTTTTGTTTGATTCAATGTTTTAAAGATGGAATTTTCACCTCTTTTTTGGTCGGAGACAAGAAAAATTATTTAATTATTTATGTGATTATTTTTTAAATGAAGCAGATAAAATTTAGAAACATAAATTCTTTACCAAAATGTACTTTGTTCTCTTTGTTAGAAAAAATGCAAACAAAAAATCAATTTTTCACGGCCCCTCTTTCTCTTCCTCCAGACTGAAACCCCATCTTCGAAATAAGGAGCTTTTGGAACAATGCGCAAACAATGCCAAGATTGCGCACCCATGTATTTTAATCTGAGTGAGAGTTTCGGTGCGTGTCATCCTCCCTGGCCTCCTCCTTAGCCGCCGCCGTCGCACCACGAAACTCGATAAATAAGGGTTGCGTCGCGTGTATTTGTGCCAGCAGCGGCCGAAAGGGTTGTCGTCTCTCTCGGGAGCCTCTCGAGCGCCGTCTCGATAATGAACAGCGCCAACCTGCACTTTGCATGGGTATTTGACGACGCTCTGCGCTCGACTTCTTGTTATTTTAATCTCCGATTTATTGACAAACTTCGAATCCCCATTGAGCAAACAGTTCCATGTTTGTGCTGAATGACTGCCGCAGCCACCAGCTTACGTTGTTTGAAGGTGGTAATCCATGCTGCCTTGTGGACCACCATCTGTTCCAATCGTGTATAATACCCCAGAGGCAACTAATAACCTCGTCGAAATATATGTCAGATTTGGAAACAACTTTACAAAAATGGAAGTTTTTTCATGTTTGATTTTAATCTGTTTCATTAAAATTTTACATAAATTACGTTTGTGATGGATAAAAAGCAAACTAAGATGTTTATTTTGCTTCTTTTAAAATTAGAGTTTCTTTGAAAGAGAAAATGTCTTTTACGCTTTACGTCAGAGAGAAAAAAATATGTCTGGCGACTTGGCGTGAGCAAACAGCCAAATCAGATTTCTCCTCGACTCGATCATCGGAGTTCGCAGCCTTGATTAAACTGAATCTTGATTCTGCAATCAATCACCGACGGCGTTTCCTAAAAGTATTAGTACCAACTCATTCCTGGTCGATTCAATTTGCCAGCTCAATTATTTCATGAGAGCGAACTTCAGCGCTTTGAAGAAATCGGCAAAGGCACCGCCAACTCTCGCCAGGATAGAACTGCGAAATTGCTTCTTTCAGGGGCGAATTCTGCCTTACATTCAATTCAATTTTATTGCCACTGAATTATTTCTTGATATTTTGGAAATAATTGTATAGAGGCATTAGAAAAGACTCTTTTCTAATTAAGCCCTTTTCAAAAGAGCTTCATTCATTTATGTATTTCATCAGCCATCCTCAGCTGTCATTCAACACGCAATATTATTTTGAGAAACTCAAGATTAAATTCGAATTTTGCTTTGAGGTAAATGTAAAAAAAATCCTCTTTGATAGCAGAATTGACTATTCTTTTAATGGATATTATGAAA